AAATCCTAGCGAAAGTACTTTTATTCATGCCAGAGGTATTTATTGGCACTAATATAAGGGTTGAGAAGGCATCGCTGAAAAAAAAAATCCATACCCTCATATTAAAAAAAAATTCCATACCCTCAGGGAACCACAAGGGCAAAAGCACTTAAGGGAAAGCCAGACTGTATGTTTGGGAACAGCTGGAAGACTAGTGTGCCTGGAGTGGTGAGGATGAGGAAGACAGGGGACTAGATGAAGGGATCATTTGAAAATGAACCAGTCCCTCTGCCAGAATCCCTAAGTCACAGTGTGAGGAATGCTCAAACGCCACCTCCTTGATCATTCATATATTTTCTCAAACCTCAAAAAGCACAATTTAACAAAGATTTGAATGACCGAGGGCTAATAAACTAAAGTCCTGCATCACAGAGAAAAAAGGGTTTGTGATGGATCTGGCGGAAATTGTTTCATCTGGGAAAATGGCAACTATTAATAATCTTTCTACTCACGTTTTGTCGTTGATGCCTAACTTTGTTTCACAGTACATAGCTAATCTAGTTTACAACAAAATCGTGTTGCTTCTGCCTTAAAAGTATAATCAGAATCTTCCTCTGAAACATGTAGTTCAAGCTATAATTTTCTCCAGCCTGGACTAAGCCCTGGCCTCCTGGCTTCCCTGTTGCCCTCTTTAGTACCTCCGTTTAGCCAAAGAAATGTTGTTCTCTTAAAAAAAAAAAAATGTTCTTTTTAGATATACATGACAGTATACATACATGGAGTGCAACCCATTCCAATTAGGATTCCATTCTTGTGGTTGAACATGATGTGGAGTTACACTGGGTATATTCATATATGAACATAGGAAAGTTATGTCTGATTCATTCTACTGTCTTTCCTATTTCCATTCCCCCACCTTTCCCATAATTCCCTTTTGCTAATCCAATGAACTTCTGGTCCTCCCTCCCTACAACTCCTTATTTTGGGTCAACATCCACATATCAGAGAACATTCGGCCTTTGTTTTGGGGTATTGGCTTATTTCACTCAGCATGACAGTCTCCAATCCCATCCATTTATTGGCAAATGCCATAATTTCATTTTTATTTATGGCTGAGTAATAAGGAATTCTGTTAACACCTCTGTCAGAAGGAGTCTCTTCCTCAGCACAGAACTTCCCCCACCCCAGGTTTTGATCTGACTCTTAATCTAAAGCCAAGCTCCTTACAATTTGGCCCCTTTATACCTTCATCTAGTCCCCTGTCTTCCTCATCCTCACCACTCCAGGCACACTAGTCTTCCAGCTGTTCTCAAACATACAGTCTGGCTTTCCCTTAAGTGCTTTTGCCCTTGTGGTTCCCTGAGCTTGGAATGCTCTCCCTAAATAGCTCCCTCTCTGCCCTCCTTCAGTTTGCACAGATTCACCATCTGGATGAGTCCTTCTCAAACCCACTATTTAAAATTGCCATTTTGTCAGTCTCCATCCTCCTTCCCTACTCCACAGCTCTTTTCTTCTCCTTTCTTTAAATCATGTTTACTCCTTTTTGTCTGTTTCAATAGAATAGAGGCATCGTAAAGAAGCAGTTTTTGTCTTATTCACCAGCCCATCTAAAATAGTGCCTGACACATAGGAGGTGCTCTATAAATATTTTTAAATAAATAAGTGAGTGGGACAGCTGAGGACTAGTAGAGGGAGGTATTAAGAGAATTGTTTTCTCCCTGTCCTTAGTCTGGCTTCTGAAGTTTTCCACATATTGTCTTTGAAGCAGCATTAAGTTCTAACTGGATCAAGGACCTCTTGTTCTGTGCCCATCAACAATGCAATCATTTGTGGAATTACCTATTTGTATGCTGCATCCCTCCTCTTCAATAAGATCTTCCTAAAACCCAAATCCCTCTCCTGTTCAAACCCCTCTATGGCTCTCCAGTGCTCTGGAGACAGAGTTCAGACTCTTCATCATGGCTCATGGATCCTTGGTGAACTCTTTGTGAACTGGCCCATGCCGCAGTCCGGCTGCAGCAAAATAACCGGGGGTGACAAATAACTTGTGTACGTTGATACAGCAGGAGTAGGAGCCGTTTATTGTAGGACAGGAGCAGTATTTATACATTCCACACAGCTTATCTAATTAGCATAAACTAGATACATCAGTCAACCAATAAGAAATCTCCACACTTAATGGCTCGCTGGTGTTACTTCACAAACCACTCCCTCTGGCATTTTGCCAGGCACCATCCAGACTTGTTTAGGAACTCTAACATTCCCCTGGCAAAATGCCAGGTGTTATTTTGACTTGTTTACAGACTCTAACAGGCCCACATTCCTCTTTCTAGCCACACCGGTATTATTGAATGGTGCTGTGAGATTTTCCACCTCTGAGCCTTTGCTCTTGCTGTTTATTCTGCCTGAAACATTCTTTGCCCACCTACTTCTCAAATCACTTGTTTCTTCCTCCAGAAAGTCTTCCCTGTCTCCCCTGCTCCTGGGTGGGTCAGTTGCCTCCTTTTGGGCTCTCGTATTCCTCTGGAGTGCTTCATCCCAGCCCTGACCATTCTGGTATGTCCCTATCTGATGATGGGTCTGGGATCTGTCTTCCTGGAGCACTGTGAGCTTCCTGAGGGCAGGGTTCAGGGATGTTTTGATGGTATATCCCCACTATCACGCAGGAGGACTATACAGTAGGTTCTCTGTAGGGGCTTAGAGTTCTCAGAAGGGATGGGTTCTCAGTAAATTCCCAGTAAGCTCTCATTAGGGTCTAGGTCTTGGTTCTCTGTTTTCCAACTTGGAACAGGAAATCAGAGTACCTTTGGTGTTGGGGGAGGCAAACATTAAGTCTAATTCCTTGATGATCCCTAGCACTGGGAAGGCATTAAGTAAATCCTTTTTGTAGTCTGAGTCTTATCTTCAAGGGTACACGGCCAATGAACTTCTATAATTGGGTCTTGTGTTAATCAGATTTTCATTACTATAAGGAAGTACCCGAGGTAGCATAATTTATGAAGAGTTTTACTTTGGCTCGCCATTCTAGAGATATACGATCCAAACAGCATAGCTCAGGCTCTGTCCAGGGCTTCCCATTGACTATATCCTTTATGATGAATGACCTTCTTGTTGGCAGGTGTTTTGTTTTGTGATACTGGACATTGAACCCAGGGGTGCTCTACTATTGAGTATATCCCCAGCCTTTTTTTTTTTGTGGGGGGGACAGGGTTTTGAGGCAGCCCATAGCATGAGAGACAGGGAACACTCCTGTCGCATCACACAACTAAACTGGTCAGAGTTACTCCAAGTGAATTTGGAGAGTAAATAAAGACATAGATACAGAAAGTAACTTTTCTTTGGGTTCAGTGACTGCTCCTTAGCCGCAGCTCCCAAAAGGGGTCAAGGCAGGCAAGAAAGAGCCAGGAGCACATGCTGAACTCTTTTACTGGGGAGAAGCCATTCAAATGAGGCAAGGGGTCAGGTTTCAGGGGGTTGAGTCTAGCTTCCTGACATCTTGCTGTCAGCAGGTTGACTGACATCTAGGAAGGCCACGCCCATCTCAGAGGCTGTGTGGGGATCTTGGGCAGAGCAGGAGAAAAGACCATAAGTCACCTGCCCAGACAGAAGAGCAAATCGGTTCAGTCCACCCTGTGCACTCAATGCTCATAGTTCATACACACAGCCCATGGCTGGCTTGCCACAGCTCCACACTCTCATCACTCAAAGCTAAGGGGCGCTCGGTTCCCAAGTGGCAGCACCTGACCTACTCCTGTCTGTGTCTCCTTTTCTTCATAAAGCCACAGGATTCAATTGTGGGGGTTCTGCTATAAGGACCTTATCTAATCTAATCAATTCCCAAACTGGCCACCTCTAAACACCATAATTTTTACTCTCCTAATACCATTAATGTAAGACTTTGGGAATTAAATTCCCACATATATTGGGAGAACAAACCATATTCAAGCCTTATGCTATGGTTTGGATGTGAGGTGTTCCCCAAAAGCTCACATGTGAGACAATGCAAGAGAGTTCAGAGGAGAAATGATTAGTTTGTGAGAGCTTTAACCCAATCAGCCTTAACCCAATTCCTTGATAGGGATTAACTGAGTGATAACTGAAGGTGGGTAGGGTAGGGTATGGCTGGAGAAGATGGCATTGGGGATGTTGCTTGGGGTATATTGTGTATGGGGGGAGTGGAGTCTGTCTCTGATCATCATGTGAGCTGACTCCCTTTGTCACACTCTTCTGCCATGATGTTCTGCCTCACCTGGAGACCTGAGGAATAGAGACTCTGTCTATGGATTGAGACCTCTGAAATCATGAGCCCCCAAATAAACTTTTCCCCCTCTACAATTGTTCTTGTCAAGTCTTTTAATCACAGCAGTGAAAAAGCTGACTGATACACTGTATCAGGTCTGATTCCTTTGAAAGTCCCTGCCCATGGCAGACACACAGTAGACCTTGTGGATACTAGGTTGGATTCTTTTGTATGTCCCAACAGGGTGGGCACACAACTGATTCCCTAAATTAGATCTGGTTCTCAAAGTCAGGGTTGTGTCTTGGGATCTTGCAGCTGGAAAAGTGGGTGGCTTCTTAACTCCAAAATTAATCGTTGAGGTGAGCTGTGTTTAGGCTGCAGGAGGAACCAAGGTATATTGGTAAGGAGGGCCTATGGCCTAAGGGGGACTGTAGCAGAGGGGTAGTGCTTAGGAGCTAAGAGCTCTCAAAAGAAGGGGCGGGTATTGGGGCTAAACGGATAATTAAAATAAAGGTATTGTATCCAACTACTACTAAAAATACATATTAAGAAAAAAAAAAAAAGAAAAAAAGGAGGGGAATACCTAGACCCTGGTAATCTAGGGGCCAAAGGGATGGGGACCCAGGATGATGTGAGATGAGGATCCGACGCTTGAAAACTCCGAAGTGGGGAGGCCAAACTCCTAAGTGTGGGGGTGCACACTTAGGCTTTCTGGCGGGTCTAGTCAGTGTCGTGGGAAGGACACAGACAAGCACGCGCTAGGAGGTTTGAGCGGATATTTTTATTGGATCTCTGTTCCTTGACTGTCCTCGGAGCAGTCCCGACAGGGTATACCGGGCACTCGGCCCCCGAAGCGGTACGTGTACTTGCGCCCACCGCTCTTACGCACGATGTCGCGGCGGTAGTAGTAGCGTAGACCTCGGCTCAGCTTCTCATAATTCATGCCGGGCTTCCTCTTGCGCTCGCCCCACAGCCGGGCCACCTAGGTCGGAGGGGGGACTTCGTCAGGGGACGGGTGGGGCGGGGCCGAGACAGGATGGGGGAGCGGACTTGGGGACCCCGCTCGGGTGGTTTGGACGAGGGTCTGGCACCGCCTAGGTGGATTGAATGGGGTTGGTTGAGGCTGGAACCCGGACTCGTTTTAAACCCGGTCTAGAGAGGGCGGAGGTGGGGGCGGGGCCGAGGATTAGGCACAGTGAACGGCAGGATTAGGTTAGATTAGAGTCGACCCGGGGTTTGGCGGGCTAGCGGGGTAGGGGAGCTGCCCTACCTCTTTGGGGTCGCACAGCTGGAACTCGCGGCTGTTGCCAGTCCAGCGGATGCAGCTGCTACGCGCCTGGTCGTGGAGCAGCTCCAGGAGGAACTGCCACAGCTGAATGGGACCTGAGGGGGGAAGGCAGGTGAACACTCAGGCTTCTTAGCCCCAGACCACGCGTTTTGGATGATCTAAGACTCCACCAGGAGTCCAAATGTCCCCTCCTTGGGGATCCTTGAATTCAGACCCCTCCATATAAAGGAATCAAGTGTCAGCCTCAGAGACCCAGAGGTCCAGAGTCCCCATCTAGGAGATTTAGGAGTTTGGCCTTTCCATCCTGGAGATTCGGGCGTCCAAATCCTTATCTCTTTCCTCTGATATAATCCAGGAGCCTGGATCCTCGTCCCCTTGGTCTTTAAAAGATCAGAGTCTTAGTCCTCTCGGCCCTCCCCTCGAGTTCTCGGTACCTAAATCCCTCCTTTCACTGCCAGTTTCCTGGGTCTGCCCCCTTAGGTGCCCCGGCACAGCCACGTTACTCTGGCTTCGCTACCTCTTCAGTCTTCCAGGACCTCTCACCTCGGTGGTTAGTTTTGGGGTAACGAGCCAAGGCATCCCGGTCAGACTGCTGACTCTGTTCGGAGGGAGTGGTGACAGCTGAACTCTGGTATCCCTTCGAAGAGATGCTGCAGTCTGCATGCAGCCCCGGATCCCACGAGGTGGCACAGTTCGAACCCACAGGCCCACTCCACGAAACGGCACAGTCCGCGCGCGGTTCCCCGCTGAGGCCATTGCCCCAGTAGGTGGCGCCGTGGGAGCCCACAGAACAGTCCCAGCTGATGGTGTTTCTGGCAGCCTGGACGTGCGACCACGTGGTGTCACAGTTCTGGCCCACCGTCCCTTCGGAACCAGTGAAGGGGACAGGACCAGGGGCGGGGCCCAGGATCTGGGAGGCGTGGTTCCAAGGGTCCGAGGCAGTGCAGGTGGTGCGGGACAGGTCTGCCCAGTCTCCTGACCACGCAAGGGCCTGAGGGGCTGGCTCTGTGAGGAGGTACAGACCACAAGTGAGGGGAGCTCAGGGGTCCTGGTACCCTGACCCCTTGAGAGTTCTAGCTGTCACTCCTGGTGCCTCCTGTCCAGGATCCCCCGATCAAGACCATGCCACCTTGAGGATGCAGGCATCTCCAGTCCTAGCCCCGATCCGCTTAAAAGAATGGGGAGGGGGATTCTAAACCTCCAGACCCAGCACCTTCGGACCCCTTCTCCCATCGCCCCTCTGCATACACTCACCTGCCCCCCATGAAGCTTCTGGATGTGCTAAGGAGGGGCTCCAGTCCAGCTCTGGAAATCCTGTGAGGGATTAGATCGCAGCCGAGTTCAAGAAAGGGCGGAAGATTTGGAGACCTCTTCAACCACCCACCCATCCACTGGTCTTTACATGTCAGGGGTTGGGAGTTATTCACTCAGGACTCAGGACCCTCTCTTTCTTTGACCTCGGGAGTCCGGGAGTGCCCCCTCTTCCCTTAGTCCTAGGAACCCAGCCTTCCTCCTCCAGGACACAGGGCTCCCAACCAGGGAGCGAACCTTTCCAGCATGTCTCCGCTGTCGGCGCTTCTCCTCGGAGTGCCAGTTCAGGGAAATAGAAGCCAAATTCAGCGCCTTCTGCAGACAAGAAGGATGTCAAGGCCGGTCAGGAGTCAGCAGAGGCCCTTACCCTCGCACCCTTCCCACACACAGTGTCTCAGTCCCAGCCGCCTACCCAACCCTGACAGCTGGTTCCCCGGAGGCACTTCCTGTGGTGATGCTTCATCCCCATTCCACAAGTCCATGGATGCTCCTTCTGAATATTCTGGGTAGGGAAAAGTGCAATGGGCAAAGGAGGACCCTTAGGGACCCTGGAATATGGGCCCCTGCCCTTGCCTCCCTCAGACCCAGGATCCAGCTTTTGTTCCTTCCTTCTATAGGAGTCTTAAGTCCTTTTTGTCACCGAGGCCCAGGAATCCAGGCCCCGTACTTCTCGGGAATCTAGAAACCCGGGTCCCTCCCTAACCCAGACACCCAGGCATCCATCCAGTCCCCAGTTCGTGGCTCACCTCTGGTGGGTTCCTCTGCCCGCAACCGGGGGTCTCAGCTCCATTTCATACCATGCACCCCCTCCCTCGGGAGCCTGGGCAGGGGGGAATTTTCCGCGACGTCAGAGCAGGGGGTCGCAGCTTGGGTCAGGTTGCAGGGGTTGGGGCGGGGCCGCGTGGCGCCCCCGGCCTCAGGGATGCCACTGGCTCTGAAGCTGTTTCATTGCCAGGGTGGGCGTTTTGAGCTTGGACGAGAGCTTTTGGGGGACAGCGGGTTGGGCAAGTCCCATCAGAGAGGTGTTTACGGGGTGATGAGGGCGGGGCGAGGGGCTTAGTGGAGAGGTGCTCAGACTTGGGGATTTGATCCTGCGACACGTGAGGTGGTGGGGGAGGAGGACCTGGGGTCAGCTGGGCTGCACCGGGCTTATCTGCAACAGGAAGAGGGATTTCCGGCCAGATACCCCCTTCCCAGCTGACGTCACAATTGGCAGGGTGAATGTGGGTTGGGGTGGGGTGGAAGGAGGAGAACCTGAATCCGAATCCCCCAAATCCCACCCCCCCAACAGGCTCAGCGGGGGAGGGCATCCTGGAGCTGCTCCCCAGGAGTGTCAATCATAAGAATAGTAACATCAACAACTTTAATGATAATCGCTAGTAATAACAATAGCTAACCTTAAGTGAAGGCCCGTTGTATTTTATATGCCAGAGAATCACGTGCAAAGGTCCTTCATTTAATGAAGGTCCATTTTATGAGGTAGATACTGTTTGTCCCTGTTTTATGAAGGAGGAAATTGAGGCAGACATCCTCCCACTTCTCTTTCCAAAGCCCATGTACTTCCATGCTCTAAGTTTGAAACTGGAAGATTTTGAGTATAAATTCAATGAGATATCACATGGAGTTATTAGAAGTGAGGATGACATTTTATGAAAGATGTCTCTGTGAAGAAATAAACACAGATATTCAGGGTTGAAGAGCTATAATGCCTGTAACTTGCTTAAAAAAATTAATACACATGAACATGTTTATCTGAAATTCATAAGTAGGTATTCCATATTGCTATTTGCTCTCTGGCAACCCTAAACTCAGGTAACCTGGCCTTAGATACTGTGTTTGTGCCAGACCGCCTATACAAATAAGTAAATATTTACTGCTAGAAAGAATCTTTTTTAATATGGAGTTACCAATATTCATTCAGCTTCATAAAATATTTGCCATTCTGGAGGTAGGAGTTGTGTGGAGAGCACTGCTTTCCTGTTCATTTTACAGAAGGGAAACTGACCTCAAGAGGGAGAGTCACTTGGAACTGGGATTAGAACCCAGTGGGAGCAATCCATTGAGCCCTGGGGTATAACTCCATCCATTCACTCCATGTATCTGAAGGGAGTCCTGGCCTCCTTTCCCTGAATTTTGGCCTCTTTCCTGTCTGTCTCCATGTGCTTCTCCCCTGGTTGGTGTCCTTAGCTGTGGGTCTCTGTTGCACCAGGACTGAATCCAGTGAGGTCTTGTCACTCAGTATCTCAGACAAGTCTTGCTCCCTCCCTTCTCTGAGTGTTCCCATCTTCTCCATCTCTTGGAGTTTTCTCCCCACCTCCCTTCTCATTGCAGTCTCTAATAGTTCTTATCACTCTGCCTGAGCTTTCCCCTCTCCCTCCATCTCTGTATCTTTGCCTGCTCTTCCTCTCCATCTCTGTGCATATCTCTCTGGTTCCTTGACAATACTCCTGTGCTTACTTTAACAACCCTTCTTTCCGGAATCACTCTCTCTTTCCATGTCCTTCCTGTCCCAGAGGTTGCAGTAAGCAGATCAGGGATAGGAAGGGCTAGTGATAGGGAAAAGGGGTTTGAGGGTCCTGGAACTGGGAGGTCCAGCCCAGGTGGCAGGGGGCTAAGGGCACTTCCTGCCAAGGAGGGAGGCCCTCACCTCTCAGACCAGACTGGAAAATATGACGTCAGAGAGCGGGCAGTAAGAGAGGGGAAGACAGGAACAGAAGAAATTTGATACCTCTCCTGGGTGATCTCCTTCCTGAGAGGCCTTGGTATTGCTGCTCCCAGCCCCCAGCCCCAGTCCTTCCCTGAGTTACCCCCTAGCCCAGGACTCTATGGCTGCATCCCTGGGAGATTTTCATTCCTTTCCCGCAGTCTAACCCTGCAAGCCCCTTAGAACCTACCCTAACCTCCTTCCAGACCTCCAGTGCTCAGTGGTGGTCCCTTGGTTTTCTAAACCCATAGTATGTGATGCCAGTCAGTTCCTGCTTGCTGCCTGAACTTTGTCCCAGCTTCTCGGGTTCTCTGCTGCCTTTAGGGTAAAGCCTAAGCTCTTAGCCTGGTGCTCAAGGTCCTGCTTGGACACCTCTTCAGCAGGTGGAGGCAAGCTCCAAGAAGGAAAAAGACTCAAGAGATACAGATATCTAGAGACAAGAAACAGAGGGCACTGAGAGACCCACGCAAGACAAGTTGGCTGACATATGGCAGAGTGAAGAAACTAAACAGCGAACCAGAGTAAGAATGGCAGGAAGAAAACCTGAGTGGACAGTTCTTTAGGAAGGTCTCCCTGACCCCCAGGTAAACACCCAGGGATCCCCCCTGCTGGCCCTGGCCAGTCTGGGCCTACTCTCTGACACTGAACCATGAACTCTGAGGAAGCAGGATACAGGACTGTTTGTCGTTTGTCACTGCTAATGATGCTGTCACCCAGCATCATCCAGGTCCTTGATGAGAGTTTGCTGACTGCTTAAAGCCTAAAGGCTGTGAGCTCCAGAAGGTAAGGTCTAGGAGACCTCCTATCTTGATGCTGATAACACAGGCTGGTGTGTGGAAACTAATCTGAAATCTGAGCCTCAGTTTGGCTGTTACCTTCCCAAAGCTTTCCTTCCTGCTCTGGAATAGGCGGCACTCAGTATGCACTTAAGAGGTTTTAAGTGGAGGTAATGGGCACATAGTAGGGGCTCAAAATGCTCATCTGGATGTCTGCCTGGGTAAAACTTCAAGGCTACTCACATTCTTAGGTGAGGGAAAAGCCTGGTACCCAAAGAGTTCTTCCAAGCACAGCCAGGGATGGAAATGAACGTAAATTTATTGAAACTGGTTTTGGGGCAAGTGTGTGGATAGTTGAGGGTTCTCCTCTGGGGAGGAGACAGCGCCCGGCCGGATGGGAGCGGGTGCCCAGCCACAGACCCTATCTCAGTCCCAACTTCTTCTTTTCCTTCTGCTTCTTGCGGACCACATCCAGGTTCCGGTCCTTCCACATGCTCTTACGAAGCTTGATGGGGCGTGAGCCCACGTATTTCCCTGTGGGACAGGAGGACTTAAGGTCAGGCTTGGGGTAAGGCTTAGGCCAGATGCCTGCCATACCCACTGCCCCTAGGGAAAGCCTCACCCACCATTCATCTCACGCATGGCGCGCACATAGTCACTTGGGTCCTTGAAGCTGACAAAGCCATAGCCCTTGGTCTTGCCTGTGCGCTTGTCACGGATCACCTTAGCCTTAAGGAAGGATGGGAAGCGGCTGAAGGCACGTGCCAAGATGTCATCATTCACCTCATTGCCCAAATCCCCGCAGAAGATCCGGAAGTCATCTGGGGTTGGGAGAGAGAAGTCAGAGGAAGCAGATGCTGGCCCCTGTCCACCCTATTTTAATGACCCCATCTTCTCTGATGCATCCTTAAGCTCTCTTTCCTCTATTCCCAAAGTCTCTACCCTGGGATCCTTGGTGATAACAGCCAACATCTTTGTAGTATTTACCCTGTGCCAAGTACCCTGGGGGGTTTACATATCTGATGCTCCCAACAGCCCTTTCACACTGAGGCACAGAGAGGTCAAGCGGCTTCAAACTTACACAACTAGAAGGTGGCAGATGGGACATGAGCTCTGGCATCTGGCTCCAGGGTCCTCACTTTTAACCTCTAACTGTATTGCTTTTTCTCACCCAGGACTGTCACACATTCCTATGAAGAAGCCCTGAATTCTGACCTGGTCCTGGCCTTCCCTCTGAGACCCTGTTGTTCCTTGGTCTTCTGGACACCTCTCCAAGGATGTCCCCTGGGCCCGACACTCACCAGCCTCCCACCATGGCACCTCAGCACCACAGGCTTCACCTTTCTTCAGCTATGCAGAGGCTGCTCTAATTCTACCTTGAAATTAGAAACTGTGTGACTTTCTCCAAAGCTGATCTCAGCTGCCACTCTTGGGACTATCCCTGGGCAATATCCTAGGCCTGAGCCTAGACTGATCATGCTCTACCCCAATGAATCACTATCCCCAGAAAGCACATATCATTATTTTCTTTTTGGAGATAGGAAAATGAGGCTTGAAAGGCTAACTACCAAGGTCTCAGATCTAGGGTCCCAAACCAACACTGGACCCATCTGGGTCAAGGCTGCTTGGCCCTGACCTGGGGCAGGTATATTGTCCCAGGATAGGAGGCAAAAGTCAAGGACTGGGTGGGAGGTAAGTTTATTTTCTTCCTCAGCTATTGCTATGATTGCCCCAGGCTTCTGTGATGGTTAAGGACACTTTGAGAACAAGCTAGGCCATCCCAGGAGGAAACAATCTGACAAACTAAGAGGGTAGAAGCTTCTAAGACATTTGGCCTGGACACTTGAAAAAATTATACATAACACAAGGAGGTGGAGCATGCCTGTGATCCCAACAGCTTGGGAGGCTGAGGCAGGAGCATTACAATTTCAAAGTCAGCCTCAGCAACTCAGCAAGACCCTGTCTCAAAAGACAAAAAGAAAAACAAACAAAACCCCAAACC